AGCCCAGACTCCACGACATTCTACTAAGAACCTTTATGAGCAGACCCTTGCCCACCTCTTCAACCTCATCTCTCAGTACTCTGTACTCCTCCCTGCCCAGCAGTCCTCTCCAAACCACCACCTCTTTCCAAGCTATAGATTGCCAATCTCTCCTCATCTCTTTTCCAGGCTTTCTTACATCCTGTTCTTTCCACTGGGAGAGAAGACTTCCTCACATTCACTGTCTAATTCCTTGGTTAAACATTCATTTCTCTAGGAAACCTTTCCTGGTAAGTTATAGCTCAGTTGGGTTTGTCTCCTTTGAGTTCCTGGAGCCCCTGCGCGTCTTCTGTTACTTATACTTTGTTGTGAGTATTGGCTTAACTACCTGTTTTTCCCTCAAGACCATAACCTTCGGGAGATGTGTGTCTGCAGTGTTACCTTTTTTTAGCGAAGGTGGCAGTGCTTGGCAAATACATGAGCACAACATGCCAAGTGGGTATCGTTTCTGAACTCCCTATGGTTTACAGAAGTCTGAAATCCTAACCTCTGGCCAGGTAGATATCCTCAGCCCATCCCACACTCCTTGCTTTCCATTCTCCAGCCACTGGTCATCCTTGCTTTCCTAGCTGGCTGACCCCTGCTTCTTCTACCACAGGGCCTTTGCCCATGCTGTTTCTGCTACCTGGAAGCCTAATTTTCTAAATTCCTACGCCTCCTTCAGATCCCAGCTCAAATTTCTCTTTCTTAGGAAAGTTTCCCTACTCCCTCAAGCCCCGCCCCCCTCATTCTTTCAAGTAGCTTCCCTTCACTGTCCTTATCACAGCTGTGATCTTAACCTTTACTCTTGTAATTTGACTGTCTCTCCAGAGACACCGTGCGTGCCATGAGCTCACCGACAAGGTCCGGTTTCCGCTCGCAGTCATACTCCCACGGCCAGTTTCAGTAAGTGGTAGGCACTCCGGAAAAGGTTTTTATTTTCAATTTTTTTGCCCAAGGCCCTAGGGGTGCAGGAAAGCTTAGAAGCACAAAGCGAATTTTGGCACGCTGTAGACTTCCAGGGCCAACTCTTACAGCTTATGATTTTCTTTCAAGAGGAAATAAAAGCATAACTCAGTGGCGTCTTCACAGCTTATTCCTGCCAGTTCTGCTTTTCTATAAATACAATCCTCATTTCCAAGGAATCTGGATAAGATGGCTGCAGCTGACTATTTTGGGGAGGCCATGTCGATTCTATTTCAGAGGGGATGTTGTCATCTGTCTTTGCTCCTGGGGCAGGTGTGGAATGTGTCGTGGACCCCTGTTGCTGATTCTACAGAAGAAGTTGGACATGTCAGGCTAATCGCTTCACAGGCCCTGGACAGAGCCTCTGAGGACAGGCTGAAAGGCATGTTGAGATCTCCCCGAGGACCCATTATTTTATGTTCTATCCATTGCTGTTTTACTCCTACTGTCGTGTGATGCGGGGATGCTTCTGAGAGAAGCTTTTTGTCCTGTAGTGTTTTCTCCACCAGAGTTCAGTGCTGAAGGCCGTTTAAGGACACCAGCCTCCAGCTTACAATAGGAAGATGTCTGAGCAGCATGGGACACGGAGATCGGTCTTTGAAAAATTCATGTAATTGTTGATGCCAAAGTTAAGGAAAATGTTGACATCATAATTTTCCAATGTAGTTTTCTTATTGCTACCATGACTTACAAAGCAAGATTTCTGGGTGTACCTTTGAAAATGCTGCATACACAGACACATACATGCTGTAACTTGAGTTACAGTAAAACTACAGTATAGCTAATTCCGGCAAATTATAAAGGTAACTAACTCACTGTGGAAATAATAACAGGCCAAGTATGCATTGTATTAATGTCCTTTCATGTAATCAAGAAAGCACACAACTTTAAATACAAATACATAATATAAATGTAATATCTGGACTTATTCTTTGTATTTAAAATTGTGGAAATTATTGTACATATGAAAGGACATTACAGACACACACATATAAGACAAAATGCATAACAGCTAAAATTGGCCAACCAATTAATAGTCCCACAGTCAATCCTCTTGTATATTTAGTATTTGACTCTTATCCACACATAGGAAAGTCTGTACTTCAAAGTACTATTTGAACATATATACAATTTATCATGCTAAACATCCTTAAATTGTCAGTATTTTTCTCCTTGGAGCTAAAAGCTAGCACAGAAAGTCTCTCCTTATTTCCAAAAATAAGGAATAATATTTCTGAATCCAATTAAGAACAAAGGATACTACAGTGTAAACCACTGATTTTAAAAAACCTAGAATAGCTTGTTATATCATATAACCATCCATCACGATATACAGATATGCTATAGTCTATCCTCTATTTTCTCTAATTCAGGAGCCGAATATGTCTCTTTAAAATAAAACCACATACAAAAAAATAAAATAAAATACAATAAAACCACATACAAATATGGCATTCGGTTGCCAAATTAATCAGTTTGGCCCTCGAGATCACAAGAACTTGCTAAGAATAGTTAATAATAAGAAGGATTAAAGCTGCAACTTTGCCTGTCTCATGTTTTAATTCTTTCTCTCAAAAGTTTTAAATGAAAACATTTTCAGACTTTTAATGGTTCATGAGTAGTTTGATGCCATTGTACTTGCATCCATCAAAGGACAAGTTCTCCAACATCTTTTTTTGGCTGCACTGGGTCTTCGTTGCTGCATGCAGGGCTACTCATTGCAGTGGCTTCTCTTGTTGCAGAGCACGGGTTCTAGGCGCGTGGGCTTCAGTAGTTGTGGCTCGTGGGCTCTAGAGCACAGGCTCAGTAGTTGTGGCGCACAGGCTTAGTTACTCTGTGGCATGTGGGATCTTCCTGGACCAGGGCTTGAACCTGTGTCCCCTGCATTGGCAGGCGGATTCTTAACCACTGCATCACCAGGGAAGCCCTCCGACACCTTAAAAAGTCTGCACGATGGTTCAGGTGCCATTTCACATGAGAAGCACCAGACCTTCGCCCTGTGGTCTTGCCAAATGGACTACGCAAAGCTCTTGAATGCCAGGAGGAAATGCATCTGCCACCGTCATTTGGGAATTCATGCTGATAAATGGCAATTATTTAAATGGATGTTTGTATTATTACAAACCATTTTCATAGCAAAGCCAGGAAGACCATCGTAAAGGAACCTGTGGAATCTTTTTTTTTTTTTTTTTTTTTGCGGTACGCGGGCCTCTCACTGTCGTGGCCTCTCCCGTTGCAGAGCACAGGCTCCGGATGCACAGACTCAGCGGCTGTGGCGCACGGGCCCAGCTGCTCCGCGGCATGTGGAATCTTCCCGGACCAGGGCACGAACCCGCGTCCCCTGCATCGGCAGGCGGACTCTCAACCACTGCGCCACCAGGGAAGCCCGGAACTTGTGGAAGCATTATTGTTATTTTTTCCAGTGCTTACAGAACATTCCCTTCTTCTTTCCTGTTCACGTCTTAGCCCTCACTCTGCCTGAAAATATATTTCATTTAGATTTCTCCTCTCCAAGGCAATGATATAAGTGCCCTATTCTGTTTCACTCTTAGGGGATACAGAGGAGTCATCCATTTAGAGTTTTCCTTGCATGTAAACCTCTCAGTAGTGTTTAGAAATATGTAAGTGACCTACACATTTTATGCCACCTTAACAAGTCTGTACAATGATCAAAAGGGAGAATGCAGTCAGGTGAAGAGTGGGGTGTAGTCAGGTACATGTCAGCGGGGTGACAATTTAGAAATTCATGGAATTCGGAGGTTCACTGTAATCTCAGGAATGAACAAATTATATACAGCCACGGGGCACTGAGGTTTCCATCTCAGAAACAGTCAGAAAGCATGAAACTGGGGATGTCTACCATGAGAACTGTTTCAGATTCCAAGACCTTTCACAACTTCCCTATGTTTGTTCTTCTCTTTCATTCCCCAAAGCAGCTAACATGAAAATTCTCAGATTTGTGGACGAGTATTCATGTACAAGAAGCAGATCATCGCCTATTTCACAGTTTAGACGTGAGCCAAAGTGGGGGGAGGACCAAGAAATAGAGGAGGTGATGATTCTGAGGAAGAGGGAGAACAGGCTGAATTTTTGAGGACACAGAGGAAGAAGGAAATAAAAGCCCCAGAGTATCCCTGGAATGCCCCGGGTACATAAATACCAAAATCAGGACAAAACAAACAAAAAGAATCTGCACGGCTCCTCCATCACCTCATGTCAAACCCGACAGGGTCAAATCAGAACTCTTCACGTTTCTTTCCCTATACCTCTCCCTCTGCAATACTCTTACTTACCAAAAACTACCCACATAACGTGCCGCCATAAACACCCCACAAACGCTAAGTCATGTAAGGTACTATTCTCACCTCTATCTTACAGGTGGGAAACAGGTACAGAGTTAAATTGAGCAAGGTCATGCAGCCACCAAGTTTCAGAGCTGGGACTCGAACTCATACAGTCTGACTCCAGAGTCTGTGCTCTTCACACCCCTGCCACGCTGACTTTACCCAGATTCCTTTGCTGTCCACTAGGCTATGAACTATATAGTTATCTTTGTCATTACAATGATGCTTCACTTACTCAAGCTTTTGTCTCCATGAAATAACCTATTCCTATCTGCCAATAACCATATATAACTTGCTTCCTGCTCCTGTGTTGATTTTTATGGGAGCGGGGAAAATAAGGATGAAAAATGAGAAATGGACTGTCAACACTAGAATGAAAGCATACAGGTATGGGAAAGGTGGAGTTCTAAGTTCAGCTATTTATAGATCAAATAGAAGTGGTGGTTTTATAAACTGCAAAGCAACAACCAAAAACCTGAGCCATGAGAACACACATAGGATCTAAAAGCCATTCTCCATCATTCTGAAGGATTACTAAACACAAGAGCAATCCGAAGGCTGGATTCTCTTCCTTTGGTTCCGACAGCCTAGGGTAATTAAATTCTACTAATGAACGTACAGAGCTGAAGTCAACAAACGCCCGATGAGAAACAAAGGAAAACATAATCTTACCTGCAGACGTGTGTTTGAACTTTTCACTCTTCTTCTTCCTCCATTTCCAAGGCTTGAAAATCCTTCCCAGGTTGGCAAACTTACTCCTCCTCCGGATGGGTGGGGTGTGGGTACCCGGGACAAGGGAGTCAGATCGCATTGCCGCCAGCCTCTCCACTTCCTCAGCTTGTTTCCCCGAGAAAGAGATGGAAAAGAGCGAGAGAAGGAAAAGTGTTAAAATGGGAGCCTCACAGATGGCCAATGCTTGCCATGGTTACAGATAACAGAAACCACATGACCCAACTTCCGTTTCTCTTTCTGCCTTTTGGAATGGAAGTCATACCAACATGTTCTAAAGGCTAGTGACAGTCAGCCCAACCCTAGGAATTTGGAGCACCCCAACCAAATTTGCCCAGCCTTCACCTAGGCTTGAGCAAAAGGATGAGGTGTTGGAGGAGGAACAGAGCGCCCCTGACCCATCGAAGCCTCCCCTATGAGGCAGGGACAGGGCATCCAAAGAGTCAAATGACAGTCAGTGTAGCTATTGGTCCAGCACTTTCTCAAATAAGACTTGGCAGATGCCATCACTATAACACTGTCAGCTGAGAAAAGAGGAGGGAGAAAACATTTATCAACCGTCTATTCCACTGCCAACATCTCCACCACCCACAATGCTCTTTCCTACAACCATGCTTCACCCAGACCTGCAGAAGTACTAGAATCTACTGAATGAGTGCCTCCGCCTTAAAATCCACTGACCATTTTTAGAAACACTTACACTTCATGAGATTTTACAATTGCCATAATTCGTCTAGGTCTTTTTGTTCCTGGTGCTTTGCTTTAATAAAAAAAAAAAATCCTGTAAATTGAGAGTTGAGCATGACATTAGGTACCATCTAGACTAATCTCAACAGCTTGACATTTGAGGACATGAAGACTTTCAAACTCATAATGCCCAGGGGACCCTTTCTTAAGGGCCACAATCACTCTGACCGCTTATCACTTGGAATAAAACTCTTTTCCAACGTACATGAGCATCTATAGATCTCAGTGAGGTAAAGAGGCCCTGACTTGAATTTTTATGACAGGCATAATCTGAGAAAATAACCTCCTTGGCGAAATCAAGGCAGGTGGGAGGGACTTGCCGTCCCAGAAAGTCCAATTACATCTAGAGCTGCGGCCAATCCAGAACCACTCTGCTGGGCCTCTTGACGCCATCCTTCAGAAAAATTTCCTGGACTTTGCAACACAGGCTGTTCTTGGAATCTCGATCTTACAGCCTGATGTTCTACCTGCTACCATCCAATATGGTTTTAACCAGGAGATTCAATCATTCAACAGATACATATGGAACCCTCAACCACGTGCTGGGCCGTGTGCAATGGTGACAGATGACGACAGGTTGGCAAAGGCTCGTGGGCAAGACGGAAAGGAAGTAGATGAATCTGAGTGACATCTGGGAAGCCAAGAGTCAACAGGACCCGGGACTGACTGGGTGGATGAGGAAGAGAAGGCAGATCATTCCTGATGGCCACGTTCACGTCGGCAGAGTGGCCCCCTTCATTCATGGAAGCTGGGAACATGGGGGACATAAATTGGGCGGGGGAAGGCAGTAACGATTTGGACATATTGCATGGCGAAGGCACTTTGAACTTTTTTTAATCCTAATTAATTAATTATTTTTGGCTGCGTTGGGTCTTCATTGCTGCGCACGCGATTTCCCTAGTTGCGGCGAGTGGGGGCTACTCTTCGTTGCAGTGCGTGGGCTTCTAATTGCGGTGGCTTTTCTTGTTGTGGAGCACGAGCTGTAGGTGTGCGGGCTTCAGTAGTTGTGGCACACGGGCTCAGTGGTTGTGACTCGCGGGCTCTAGAGCACAGGCTCAGTAGTTGTGGTGCACGGGCTTAGTTGCTCTGCGGCATGTGGGATCTTCCTGGACAAGGGCTCGAACCCGTGTGCCCTGCATTGGCAGGCGGATTCTTAACCACTGCGCCACCAGGGAAGCCCGCTTTGAACTTTTGACTTGACATGGTTCAATGCATGGGTAAGCCCCTCTTTTCAATCACTGTCTTAAGTGACCACTTAATAGTGCGCCAGACACTGATTATTTCTGGAGCAGATGCACAGAAGATCTGGACATGGTTGAGCAGACTCTAGCGGAAGAGACAGAGGCATCAGTGTGGAAAACTGCTATGACGAGGAACTCCGCCAAATTCAACGGAGGCAAAGAGGAGAAGCTGACTCTGCTTCACAGAGTTGGAAAACACCCCCCGGGCGTGCCACGTACCATTTGGGGCTAGACTTTGAAAGAAAAGGAACTGTTCTCCCCATGTGAGGAAGAGAGAGGAGTGGATTCCTGGAAATAGGAAGAGATCCAAAAGGAACAGAGAGGACTGAAAGAACATGGCATGTCTGGGAGCTTCAAGAAACCCAGAGAAACCCAGAGTGTCAGCCAAGATGGGGAACCAGAGGTGAGAGGTGCGAGAGGGGGCTGGAGCCAGATCCTGCAAGCCTGGGGGAAGTTTATTAGGCATTTGAGAAGGAAGAGAATTTGAAAATGGGAGTTGACATTATGACATTCAACATATATGTTTGGAAAGCTCACTCTGCACCAGACACTTAGGCTATGTCCATAAGCAAAATAGATAAAAATGCCAACTCGTGGAGTTTACCCTGGGAGGTAGGGTGAGCAGCAGACATTACACAGTCAAGCTAAATCAACTGTAGAGTATGGTAGAAGATACTTGCTTGGGGGAGAAAAGAAAAAAAGTGACTATGATACAAGTTAAATGAGATTAAGAGTGCCTTGGTGGAGGAGGGGCTCAATTTTAATTAGCCTGACTGAGAAGACCTACCACCAGGACACAACCAGATGTGCTTCTTAGGAGTATCATTTTCACAGCAATGGCATCTTGAACTGGAGTGTGAAGAAACAGGTGGCAGAGAAAGTAATGAGGAGGCCACCGCACTCGTCTGGAGGGACAGAAGGGACACAGAGAAAAAGATGCAATCCAGCACGGGGAATAATTATCTTGGTAATTTTCCGGATACACATGGGGGAGGACAAAGAAGCAAGAATTAAGTTTTTGCTTTCCATGACTGGGGAGATAATGAAGACTTTACATTTTTTAACAAACTCTGAGTATAAAGGGAAGAAGCCAGCCGAACAGGATGGTCGCTCAAGGACAAGGGCTTTGGAACCAGATAATGCAGTTTTTGCTTTTGTTCTTTGCAAACCTCTTTAGGGAGTCGGATTTTATTTCTTAAGGTAACGGAGCACAACTGAAGGAAATGTGTCAGGATGGGGAGACGGGATCACGTCAGTAGGCTGAGCTGCAAGAGCCAGTGCAGAGTAAGAGGCTGAAGATGTAGGGAAGAGATTGAGAACTTTGTGAAACAAGGTTCTTAGGGAGGAGAAGTGGTGGGATGACAAGTACTTATAGAAATTCGTCATCGGAGGACTTTACTCTGAGTCACTGAACATCTGAACTGAGATATCTGGTCACAAATGGCACAGATCAGATGGGAGCCTCAGAAGGATTAATCTGGTAGCAGTGGATCAAATGGATTATTGGAGCCTGATGGGAAGAAGATAAAGATTGAGGTGACTTTAAGTAAGTTCGGGTTACAGAGAGGCTGAGGAGACGGTTTTAAAAAACCAACTGCAATGAGTAAACAGAAGCCAAACGGAGGAAGTGAACAGCCTCTGGAGCAACACTGAATTTGCAAATTATTCTCTTTAAAGAGTATCAGCTCCTGGAGTTGGTGCTCCCTCAACAACGCTCAGTAGCTGGGAAGAGCCACACAGCGACAACTGCGGGAAGCCACACCAGGGAGGTTTTGAGTCCAGGATGGAAACCAACTCAAGAGAGTCTGGTGATCTGATTCCCACAAGATCCCTTTCTCTTTTGTACGCATCACCTTTTAAAATTTTCTTACTTCAGTTGCTAATCTCATTGTTACCTGTCCAGATTTTGCAAGTCTCCAAACCTACCTTCCCGACCCTAATCTCCTGCCTTCAAACCTGTATTTTAAACTGCTGCTAGTTTACTCTTCCAGAAGCCCACTCTTCTCAGAGACTTTCAAGGAGTCCACACAACTTACAGTAGAAAGTTCTCATTTCTTGCTTTGCCCTTCAGGAACCTCTGCCTGAGCTCCTGCCCAGAATGATCTTCCAGTACCTCTCTAAACATATGCTGCGGCCCAAATGAAACACTGTCTGGGTCCCAGTGGGCTTTGGGGGTGGGGATCAAACCCCCGAAAAAATACACAAAATTTCATGTCTATTTCAGTATCTACATTTGGTTGGAAGAGTTCCCATCTTTGAGTCGCCACATAGACTAAGACACAAAAGGTAAAAATGTTAAAGTATCCCGGTTGAGGCTTTTTATGAGTTCAGCCAACTTAAAACATCCTCTGCTATGGATTAAAGGGAGAGAGTATATACTAAAGCCAAAAAAAGATAAACAATGAAAAACAAAACCAAGATACAAGTTATTCAGGATTGACACGAGTTTGCTCTCACCGTTGGCACTCCCTAATGGTCTGTTTAATAAGTAAATGAATGAGAGCATCTGATGCAGCTCCTTCACACCATCTTGAGGTATGAAAATCAGCATCACTATGCGACTTAAGAAAAATGTACCACAAGGACCAAAAACCTGCTTCATAATCACATCTTCCAAAAATGAGTAAAAATTATTCTGAAATTACCATGTTAAAACAATTATAACGGAGAGACCTTCAAGATGGGCAGAGGAGTAAGACGTGGAGATCACCTTCCTCCCCACAAATACATCAGAAATACATCTACACGTGGAACAACTCCTACAGAACACCTACTGAACGCTGGCAGAAGACCTCAGACCTCCCAAAAGGCAAGAACCCCCCCCACGTACCTGGGTAGGGCAAAAGAAAAAAGAGACAAAAATAGGGACGGACCTGCACCAGTGGGAGGGGGCTGTGAAGGAGGAAAGGTTTCCACACACTAGGAGACCCTTCGCGGGCGGAGACAGCGGGTGGCGGAGGGGGGAAGCTTCGGAGCCGCGGAAAAGAGCGCAGCAACAGGGCTGCGGAGGGCAAAGCGGAGAGATTCCCGCACAGAGGATCGGCGCCGACCGGCACTCACCAGTCTGAGAGGCTTGTCTGCTCCCCCGCCGGGGCGGGCGGGGCTGGGAGC